GCCAAATTGCCAATTTCTGACCACTTTATCGAGTAGTTCAAATTGGTAAATGGGCAGTTTCTTGTACTCGACTGATAGAAAAAATGGAGTTCTAAAGAAATAGCTATGGGTTTGATTAACTGGAACAACAGAATTGGCCAAAAACAGGGCTCAAAGTCAGTGAAATTGCCAATGCGTATATGTCGCTGAGACCGGGAGCGTAATTCCGTTAAGTTTTCAACCAAATTTCGTATTTTTGGTGTCATTACCATCGGGAAAAGATTCTCTTATCATTTCATAAGAAAAAAATTTTTTTTTTCCAAAAAATTTTGCGACATAGAATGACAGTTTCAGAAAGGGGCTTGCGACAATCAAAGGGCTAAAATCAAGGAGTCGCTTTGCGGTTCTTTTGTATCGGTACCTGCCCCACACAATGCATTTCAAACATACTGCCCAAGCACAAGCAGGAGACCACCAAGGCACGCATCTCTGAAAATTCCTGCCCGAAGTTTGGGGTATAGAATGTGAAGCTGCGATTAAAACCGAGATCGAGAAGAGGTATAAAAGCTCATCAATAGAGGATGAAGAAGGATCCTCACTAAAAGCAGTTTGATGCAAGTAAAGGTCCCAATTCGCTCGGTCAAATTGCCAATGTGGGCTACAAGGTGGTGGTGAATACGAAGGAAAAGTAAGGATGATTGGAAAATAATCGCTGTCATGCAAGTCCGGGAGGACAGACCAGGTAAAGTCTAGTACAGTTGAGGAAGAGCAAACTGAGAGATCGATGTAAGAGAGAGAGAGAATGAGCTTGAGGATCAAAATGAGTGGGAGTTCCCATATTTAAAACATGGAGGGGAAGGAAGTGAGAAAAGCCTCCAATTGAATGCCATGGGGGTCATAGTGAGACACCCCCCCTCCCCCCGAGGAAATGGTGAGCATTAAAAATCGCCAAGTAACAGAAGTGGTGGTGGTAAGAAAGAAACCAGAAATGCAGCATCTGGGATAGATAATGCCCGAGAAAGAGAGAGATACAAAGAACAGACAGATTGTATACCACTTATTCAAGTGGATGTGGACAGCAGTGTAATGCAGCAAAGTATGAACAAAGAGTTGATGGTATGGAATACAGGTGCGTATAAGAAGTGCACTTTCATTAGACGTTCCATTGGGAAAAGGATCTGATGAATATAATAAAACATAGCCCAAGATGGGATGGATAACAGCAGAGCATAATTTGGATTCTTGTAAACAAACAAACAGAGGAGAACTGGGAGAGCAACACCTGAAGCTCACCCCAGTTACCTCTGAGCCCATGGATATTCCACTGTAAATAAGCCATGATTTATTAAGAGAAAGATACAAGAAATCTGAAGATAGAGGTATCTATGGACTAGAAGCGTTAGAAAAGTCCATATGTGGAGGCAGCAGAAAATGCACAAGCAGTGAAGGATTGAGACACTGCAAAGAAAGGAGTTGTGCAGGAGAAGAGCAAAGAGGAGGATTGGTGTCCATCAATGGTCTAGACTTCTCAATATATTCAGAGATAGCTTCAAGTGTTTCAAAGGACAAGGACATTGTATGTGGGATGATATTGCAGATGGAAGGAGGAGGGTGAGTAAAAATCGGGGCGATAATGGAATGTACTAAGGTAGGGGGGAGTTAAAAGGGTAGAGGGAACTGGAGAAGCAGCTTGGGAGGGAACAGGAGAGGAACCAACCTGGGAGGGGACAGGAGAGGAAGCGACCTAGAAGGGGGCAGAAGAGGAAGGTACTGTATGAGGAGGAGGATGAACTTCCACAATCATAACAGAGCCAGTTAAGAGGTGATGAACCAGGTACAGAGACTGGAAAGGAAAAATGTGCAGGTAGAAGGGAAGGAGGGGGTTAAAGATTTTAACAATGGGGGATTTTTAGACTTCGGAGAAGTAGAGGGCTAATGGGGAGTTTTTGTTGTATGAGGTTTTGTTGTATGAGGTTTTGTAGACAAACTTATGAGTGAGAAGAGGAAGAGGTGAGAACAAAATGAGGTGTTGAGGTAGGGACCTCTGAGTCCAGGACAGCAAAAGAATTAGAGATGGGGGTGATTATGTAAGGGGTGACCACAGAGGAGGCTGTGGAAGTTGGGGCCCCAGAGGTGGGGGGTCATTTAGTAACTCGAGAATGAGAAATATGTACAGGGAAGTCTCCCCTGGAAGCATAGATGAAAGACTGCCATAGCATAAGGAAAGCCTTCTGCCTCTTTAAGACAATGGATTTCTCACTCATGTAAGTAAACTTGGCAATGGCGAGAGTAAGACGGATGAGCCTCGTGACAAGGCGAGGGAGATAGACTACAAGATGCATTGGTATGGTCGTCAGCACCACAAACTGGGTATTTGGCCATGGACCTGCAATATTTCACTGGATGACCAAAACGCAAGCAATTTCTACACTGTTGAGGTGTAGGTATCACCTACAATATAAAATGAGAACAGAAGCTCACGGCAGTCAAAAGTTAAGCGAGCTACATTGCAAATGTATCGTATCCGCCTGTGGGCAGGGAGGACATAAGTGTCTACTTTGAGGATTAGGTTGTCTTGGAGCTCAAGCTGTTCCATAATGTCATCACCACATGTCTGGAAATTCTGTTGGAGAATGGTATTAGGAAGAATTGAGAGAATGATTTTCAATAGTTATAGGAATAGCATCTATGGTTGTAAGGAGAGCAAGATCACAAACTTGGTTAGCATTCTGTACTGTGACGATGCGTGCACCCTCTTGAGAGCATGAAAGGATATATCTCAACTAACATGCCAATACTATGATCGGAAAGATAGTCGTGAGAAGTTGGTTGCAAAGTAAAAAATTTAGTCCATTTTGTATTTTGAAACAGTGTGTGTAAGGGGAGGGAGTGTTGTGCTGGACTTTTCTGGGCAGAATGAGAAAGAAGCAAAGGAGTATCCTCAGGTAATGGTCTTAGTGTGGGACTAGAGTTGGTCCGACGTAGGAGATCAGAAAAGCGCCTCGCCGTAGAGGGAAGCCAGAAGCACGGTCAAAGAAGTGTGGAAGTCAGATGTATCAAAGGAGTCAGGTGGAATTCTGGTACCTGGAGTGGGTGACGAAACGGCACCAGCAGGAAATACAGGGGCACGAGAAATGTCAAAAGAGTGGTCAAATAATGAGGCAAGGTCGGAACAAGGTGCGGTAGCAGAAAGGGGCCCGGGAGGAGCCGTTTCATGGACTTGGGACTCCATGGTTATGTCACTTTTCTTTTTTTTTTTAACCCTTAAACTGTCCAAGCGTAGATTGACTTTTTTTGCATTGTTTCTTATGGAGAAAATCAAGGTCGGAGCACTACATGCACAAACGTAGATCTACGTTTGGACAGTTTAAGGGTTAAAGAAAAAAAAAGGGGGGAGGGTGATGTGGAGGGATAGCTCCTAGGAGGAATGAAAGGGTCACAAATCCCACTCTGCACCCAAGAGGACCCCAGCACCGCAAATAGTGCAGATGAAACCTGTGTCATACCCTACACTTCATGCCAGTAAACCAGCAATCTGGGATAGCGACTTCACCACCCCCCGGAATCTGAAAGGCAGCTTCCAGAGATACACCAGTTACCCGAAAGACACCCTCCAGGAGACCTGAGAGGGAGTGGGACATCCCTAGGCAATCCAGATTTCATGGCAAACTACACCACCACAGACCTCAGTGGAATGGGATGAACCACGGTACCCTTCCCCCCTACCTAGGAACTAGAGTGCCTGTGGGAAGAATCCCAAAGGCTGAAAACAGGAAGGAGACCAAAAGGTCTAATTCCTCAGACCAAAAGCCTCTTCACTGCACCAAGGAGCCCCCCCCCCCCTTGAAGAGGAAGAATAGGTATAATAGGGCCCACGTGGCTAGGAATAAAACTGGAGGCAGGGCTAAGAGCTACGACTTGACCCCTGCATTCACATATAGGTGAAGTACTTGCACTCTGTGAACATTGCCTCCACTTTCCTTAGATCTCGCACACAATGTTCCCATTTTCATAACTGAAGTATTCGTATTTTCTGGAATTATAAATACTTCCCCCATGTTGTATGACCCATGTGAGTTTAGTGCTTGCTTTATATTATTAATATCTTCCCTCTAAGGAATTAGGCCTGTGCTCTTATTCCTTGGACTGAACCTGGCTCTCTCGCATTTCCTCATTCTCAAGCTGTTGTATGACCCCTACAGGTCTAGTACTTCCCATGAATAGAAATACTTTCAGCTTCTGAAGTCCATTTTTTTTTTCAAATTTTTAAACTCCAACTATATAAACTTTGTTACAGAAAAGCTCTCTCTAAATTGTAAATTTCATGAAATCCTAGTCCAAAACATTGCAAAATACAAAAATATATATCTATTTTATTATGCACATAACATGCATATTCAGTACTGATATTACATACATGCCCACACTTTTTTTTTACTGGACAGCCATCTCCCACCAAGACAGGATGGCCCAAAGAGCACCCATTCACTCAATTGCTATATTGGCAAGTGTGCTGACATAAGTAGATTACCCTCTCTAACATCCCACCTCTCCCTTAAAGTGCAAGTACTACACTTCTGAATAAACAACTATTGAATATGTGGTACTAAATGTGCTTTCTTTGGGTCGCCGTGCCTTAGTGGGAGATGGCCTAGAGTTAAAACTTATGACAAAATATAGGGAGCACGCTAAGAATTCAAGTCTAACTAACCCTTTACAAACAGAACACTCCTGATGTCTTTCATTTTGCTAGTCCCACTCTCAGAAAAAGCATGCACATCTCTTACACCCAAATACTGGATTAATGGGTAGAAATTTTCACCAAGCACCATGGTGAAAGAAACAATATCATTTAGCTTGGTTAGGTGCTACAAATTTGAGGAAAATGTGACAATGCTGTCAATACTAAAAATTTCTTAGGTTAAAATACAAATCCTTGAAATGTTCAGTAAAATATTAATCGCAAACTTTGGGACTAGTTTCTGACCTGAACAAAAGTGTTCAAAATCTGTAAAACAAACCTTTCATATAATATAAAATCCAAGGCTTACATGTAAAAGAATGGAGGTATAACATCAAACTAGGGTGGCAAATGCATTGGATGTTGTCTCGCCTTTCTTCCGGCCGTACTGACCGATGAAGGAACCATCTTCAGCCATACCTGCTCCTGAGAGGGGCCAAATATTCAAGCAATCAGCATATAAATATATACACAAGCAGATGATTGTCTAAGAATCTCCAAACAAAAATTTTCTATCTACAAAATGCTGCACTTGCAAGGTTTTTTTTTGGGGGCACAAGGCAGTACATTATGGTCGATTACCCAATCTAGTTGCTTTGGCATTATAATGTGGATTATGAAAAAGTCATTAACTTTACAAAATAAAAGTCTGCTGCCAAACTAGCCTGATGTTCATATAGTTTTAAGAGTATAATGCTGTCCAAACTGCAAAAGCTGATTTCTTTAAAAAAAAAAAAAAAAAAAAAAAAAATCTTACTGGTAGTAACCATATTTACTTTAAAAATAATTAAAATTTTTGTGCTGTTGTACCTTATAGTGAAGATAGCTAATGATATCTAGTAGTAAATTACCAAAGACATGCATCATATAAAGTTCTAAACCATGTAGGTCATTTCAGCAAATAACTGCATTACAGTAACACTTGTGTTACACCATGAGTGTATAATTTTGAAACATTTTGTTAAAATTAATACATGAATTCTGGAATGTCTAAATAATCTTTCTTGTATGTACAAAGAGATTTCCATGGTTATATTGTACTGTATTACAAATGATCATTTTTATATAGGTAATCGACTCTTACAAAATGTACTTCAAAACAAATAAAAGCAAGCTAATGAAACAAAACAGTGAAATTGAAATATACAAGAGTATTTTTAATAAAGAAAGACTACATTCATTTAAGCACTGTTCCTTTATTTTAAAAAAGGCAAAAACTCAGTCCATATTTTGCTACTAATACAGATCTCTCAGTATTCAGGATAAAAACTAAACTGCTCTTGCCATTCCTTCTGTAAATATAAATACTGCACAATAAATAATTTAAAAAAAAAAGGCTTGGAAAGGAAGTACCTTCCTAAAGTAATTATGTATATATACAACAATTTCTATGTATGGAGGATGCAGAGACAGTATGTATTAACATACCTCAAATGGGGGGATATGTTAGCCATGAAAAAAACTTATCCTTGTATCTTGTGAGGCTCAGTTCCAATGTTCTGCCTTATTTAGGTGAAAATTGTGTGACAGATAAAACAAATAGAAATAGGCACAATAAATGGGTTATGAAAAAAACGAAGCAGACTTGTGCACAGATTTAAATGCACACTTAGGAGAACCACTAAAAATACTGTAATGCATGTAGCTTAAAACAAAGCATATAAACTACTCAAGATACATAACTGAGGTTGCATAACAGGGAATGGCTTATACTCTTGTGATTACTTTAAACCTTGATTATCCATAATGCACTTGTATACTTATGTGGCAGTTATACATTTAATAGGGGTTAAATTATCACTTTCATGGGAAAAATGCTTAACCCATAAGGGTCATACAGCATCTAGGAAATGGGAGGCAATTGGGTTCGATCCACTGAAAGGATTAGTCCAATTCCATAGCTCAAGATTCCTTCACTGGCACCAAGAGGAATAAAGGCTTAATAAAATATCATAACACTACAGAGAATTCAGTACAGAAATTAACCTCTTGAGGGCCCATGCAATTGTTCTACAGGTTTATAGCCAGGGTCCATTCCGTAGTACTACGTGATGAGCTCAGCTCACTTACATAAGCTGTGAGCAGTAAATCTGGGCTTAGATATGAGAGAATAGGTCTATGTGGTAAGTGTGCATCATATAAAAAAAATCCTGCAGCATGCAATGTATGAGAAAAAAAATTGCAACTGTAGTCCGTTTAAAATGGCAACTTTGCAGTCTCATTTGATAGAATGGAAGATATATTACAGAAATAGAGATGATTTTATATGCGTTCACAAATGCACTGATATTATTACAATATTGAATAACAGTAAATCTTCTATTTCTTGGCATGAATAAAAATTCATTGTGAATAAACAATCAAAATGGAATTCACATGTAAAGCTTGGGAACATAAATAATGAACAGAGGAATTGTTATTTTAGTGCCAGGAATGTCTGCACTGTTTATTCTGGACCTTATTTTGAAATTGAAATATTTTGATATTTGTATGAAATTGGCCAAATTACCAATTTCTAATCACTAGTGTTATTGGGTAGTTGAAATAGCTCATTGGGCAGTTTTTGTGCTCAAGAGATAAAATAAAAGGTACAGTGGAACCTCAGCACTCGAAAAATTCAGTATTCAAATGCTTTGTTTGGTAAACAAATTGCTCAGTAGTTGACCATTTGCTCAGCACTCGACCAAACAAACATGACCTGCCAGAACTTTGCTGTAAATTATTTTGCGTTTCTTCGTATTTTTTTTTTTTTTTTATATTACAGCCTCTCCTCACTTAGCGACATACTTGTTTATTGACGGCTCGGACTTACAATGGGTTCTCTGACCAGTATGTTAGCGCTGTATAGTCCTTGTGGCTTAGCGCTTCTTTTTTATTATAATAATAATAATCTGACCAGTATGCATAAATGGTTGTTAGACAGCAACCACCCAGGAAAGTACTACTACCATCCTGCCAAATGAGTGTGAAACAGAAACCTTTAACTGTTTAACATGATGGTAGGATTGCTGGTGTTCTTTTTTCTGTCTCATAAACACACTGCATAACAGGTATATCTTGCTACTTCTACTTACACTTAGGTCACACTACACAGGCATGCACATGCATATATATACATACACACATCAAGGTTTTTTTTTTTTTCTTAATAGTTCTTTATTTTCTCTATTCTCCATGGGGAAGTGGAAAAGAATCTTTCCTCCATAAGCCATGCGTGTCATATGAGGAGACTATAATGCGAGAAGCAATGGGCTAGTAACCCCTTCTCCTGTAGAAAATACTAAAAAAGTGAAGAAAAACTTTATGAAACTGGGATGCTTGAATGTATGTGGATATAGTGTGGATGATAAGAAAGACATAATTGCTAATGTTATGACCGAAAAGAAGTTGGATGTCGTAGCTCTAAGTGAAACAATGCTGAAGGGGGTAGGTGAGTTTCAGTGGGGAGAAATAAATGGCATTAAGTCAAGAGTATCTGAGAGAATTAGAGCTAAGGAAGGGGTAGTAATAATGTTGAAGGATCATTTATGGAAGGAGAAGAGGGAATATAAATTTATAAATTCAAGGATTATGTGGATTAAAATAAGGGTTGGATGCAAAAAGTGGGTCATAACAAGTGTGTATGCTTCTAGAGAAGAGAGAGATTGATATTTTGGGAGATGTTAAGTGAGTGTGTAGGAACTTTTGAACCAAGTGAGAGAGTAGTTGTGGTAGGGCACCTAAATGCTAAAGTAGGAGAAACATTTAGAAAGGGTGTGGTAGGTAAGTTTGGGGTGCCAGGTGTAAATGATAATAGGGGCCCTTTGATTGAACTTCGTATAGAAAGGGGTTTGGTTGTAGGTAATACATATTTTAAGAAAAAAGAGGATAAGTACAGTGGAACCTTGACTTACAAGTTTAATCCGTTCCATGACCTAGCTTGTAACTCAATTTGCTCGTATATCAAATTTCCTCATTTAAATTAATTGAAATGCCATTAATCCGTCCCAGCGGCAGGACAAAATATTTCATTATAACACTATCAACTCTACGCCTTATTTTATCTATCACAATTCATCTAATATGACATGATAAACAACATAATTAACAGAGAAACATGATATATACTCTAGAATGAATAAAACAGGCCATAATACAATGAGTGATGATGGCGGCACAAGCGGCGGCAGTGTCAGTGTTTAGTCCTTTTTCTATCGCTTAACCCCTAAATGGTCCAAACGTATATATACGTTTTCTCACCCAGTGTCCTGAATATTTTGAAAAATAAAATCATTTTTTTTTCATTGAAATAAAGAGAAAACTTTTCTGTTACAGGATTAAAATAAAAAAAATTAGGGTCAGTACTTACTGAGATATAAGGCTGCAAAGCTGGCACTTAATGCTCACCTGATGGCAACATAGTTCTGCTGCTTGCAGAAGTTGAACATCAAAATGGTATAAAATACTGACAGGTTGGTAGGTAAGACACATAGGCAACAGTTAGGCAACTTTATTCCGAAACGTTTCGCCTACACAGTAGGCTTCTTCAGTCGAATACAGAAAGTAGGCAGGAACAGTAGAGATGTGAAGACGATGTAATCAGTCCATCACCCATGAAGTCGTAGAATTTGAGGTTGTCAGTCCCTCAGCCTGGAGAAGTTCAGTTTCATAGTCAGGAACTATCTGAAGATCAAGCGACAGTGCAGAGACTTAAATACTGTCGGAAGGAGAGAGGTGCAGAGTAGTAGTGAGAATGCACCTCTCCTTCCGACAGTATTTAAGTCTCCGCTCTGTCGCTTGATCTTCAGATAGTTCCTGACTATGAAACTGAACTTCTCCAGGCTGAGGGACTGACAACCTCAAATTCTACGACTTCAAGGGTGATGGACTGATTACATCATCTTCACATCTCTACTATTCCTGCCTACTTTCTGTATTCGACTGAAGAAGCCTACTGTGTAGGCGAAACGTTTCAGAATAAAGTTGCCTAACTGTTGCCTATGAGTCTTATTTACCAGCTTGCAGAAGTGTTGCTGATATACCATTTTTTCTCATTTTTATATTATTTTATATAATTTTTATGTTCTGATAATTACAATTTGCTGTAGTTCTTGTCATTTCATAACCAATCTTTGTTCTGACACTAATATTAGGTACTGAAATTGTACTCAAACATATTGACAGGTGGACATTTACACTTGCCTTGGTCATTTACTATTGTCTAGGAATATATACAAAGTATTTATAGGTCCCAGCAATGTTTCGGATACACGTGAGTATAGAAGAAGGAAGGGAGGGAGGGAGGGAGGGAAGGAGGGAGGGAGGGAAGGAGGGAGGGAGGGAAGGAGGGAGGGAGGAAGGAGGGAGGGAGGGAAGAAGAGAGGGAGGGAAGAAGAGAGGAGGGAAGAAGAGAGGAGGAGAAGAAGAAGAAGAAAAGAAGAAGAAGA